ACTGGGACTCGGTGCCTTCAGAGTGGTCGCCTTTCCCTTTGCCAGCTTCCTGTGGCACAGAGGAAAGGGTCCCATCTCTAAGCACATGCTGGCCGCCAGCCTCAGAGCAGGGACAGCTCATTCACATGACTGTTATAAGGATTAGAGGAGATCAGTGCTTAGCAAGGACCAATGCACAGCCCGGCACAGAGTACTCTTATTACAGGGAGGCAGTGTGGTCCTTCACAGGCTTCGAGCCATCCTGTATGGTACCTGTTTCCTGGCTAGATGACCTTGGACCAATTACCCAACTTTCTGTCTTGGTTTCCTCACCTGTAAAATGAGGAAAACAACATCTATCTCATTGGGGCTGCTGTAAGGATTAAATCAAATTAAGTTAGCTACTTGTCAGCTAGGTAACCTCAAATGTAAAATGTACATACTAACTGACCTAATCCTAGGGAGGTTCTGGGGATTAAATTTGTTAATACACATAAAGCATTTAAAATAAGGTTATACAATGGTTCACTGTCATTACCATCAGAATAGAAGTTCCCTGAGGGATGATTTCTGGTCTGTTCCATGCACTGATACATTACCAATAGGACATGGCCTGGTACATACCACTTAAAATAGTAATTGATAGAATGAACCATTGAATGCTATGGAACAGAGGAGTGGGGCAGATTCCGTTCCCAGAAGGCTTCCTGGAGGAGGTGATGCCGAAGGGTAAATAGAAGTTAGCCAGGCTGAGAAGGTGGGGAAGGACGTGCTCGCAGAGAAATGAGCAGAGGAAAAAGAACCTAGTGTGAACAGGAAACTTCAAGCAATCTAGTATTTACAGAATAAAAAGTACAAATCAGGGAAAGGCAGGAGACGGTAGCTTCCCTCCCAATGATGGACCTTAGTTAGTGCGACTAAATATACCCTGGAAAACATACCCAAATGTGAGCAATTGAAAAAAACAGCTTCTGTCAGCCTCTCCCCAGGGTTCAGACCAGTGGGCCTCATCCAGGACAGCCCCAGAAATAGCAGTTTCCATGTGCCCTCCCTCCCTGGGAAAGTCCTATTACAAGGGACCCTAACCCATCTGTCTGCAAGATTTCCAGCCCGCTTGGAGAAGCAGGCGACCATGCCTGTGAACTCTCACCCCATCAATCCCAACAGGGGCTGGGGCAGCATTTACATCTTCAAAGGTACTGGTAAATGTTAGCCAGCAGCCTCCTTCCAGCCCCCAACCCTCACCTCCTCCCACTCTGGGCCACCAGGGGTCAGGGACCTGGGTCACACCTGGTTAGGCCTAGCCCAGACCCTGTTCAGCCCAGCACCTCGTCCTCAGAGCTGTCCTGCCCTCTCTCCACTGCATCACTTTCTCTCCCCCACACACTGAGCCCCAGCCTAGGGAAGGTGCCCGCCAACAGAGAGGGGGCCCTACAAGGAAGGCCCAGGACACCTTCCAAGGGGCCTTCAGACAAAGGGGGGCTCAGGTCAGCCACCCTGGAAGGAGCCCTGGGTTCTGGATTAAGGGAAGGGACAGGACAGGCCTGTAGACCAGGGTCAGCCCCAGCAACTACTCGATCAAGCAGGTTTCAGTGACCTCTCCCTGACCCCAGTAAGCTCCCAGTTGTCCCTCTGATCTCCTGGAGTCAGGGAGGCCTGTTAACTTTTACCAGACTCCTTTGACATGGAGCAGTGCTAATAAGAACCTGGGAGGGAGGTTCACTCAAGTGTCAGCGGCTCAGCACAGCCCTCCCCGGCCTCACCACCTGCACCCGGCCCTGTAGCTCCAGGCCGGAGCACCTGCCCCTTTGCCACACCACAGGACATTTGAGGAACAGGGCCCCGGGCCCAGAGAAGCCGAAAAGGAGCCCAGGCCCTGGGAGTCTGCCTCCACACTGGTCCCACCTCAGACCCCAATTTCCCTGACCGGTGGCTCTCATGACATTATGGCCTCAGCTCACAGTCCAGAGCAGGGCCAGCCCTGGCCATTTCACAGAGGAGTGTGCAAGAGTACCCCCAAAGAGTCAGGGCCTTGCCATGGCAGAGCTGGGACTGGAACCAGAGATCAGTAGCTCTCTTGAGCTTTGGGGACGGGCACTCAGCCAGTGCTGAAAAAACAAGCAGGTAATGCAAGTGGCTAGCACTCTCTGGCTCAGCCTCCCTGCTACTCTTTTCCACCCCTGACCCGAGGCACGCTTCCCCTCAGCTCCTACCCGAGGTGGAACAGGCACGGGCAGGTTAGTAGACTAAGTACCAGAGGCTGGATTGTCACCTCAGCTCTACAATAATGAGCTGTGTGGCGGAGGAAAACCACCTCCCCTTTCTGTGCCTCTGTTTCCCCACTTGTAAAACATGGGGCAGGTGGGGCTCTTAGATCCCCTCTCATTCCACATTCTCTGAATCCAAGTTTTCACTGCCTCCAGTTTCTTCTACCGCCCCACCCCCAAAATCCGCCTCAAAAACCCTGTTAGAGCCTTTTGGTTTTGCCGCAAAATTTGTAGCCAGGAGGGTTCATCTAGCCTAATCCTTTTATTTAAAAAATGAGATAGCTGGAATCCAGAGAGATGAATTAGCTGAATGACCTTGGGCAAGACACCTAAAGGCAGCACCGGGCCCAGAATTCAGGTGTCCTGGTGCTTTGTTCTTTATGCTATGCCAGCTCAAGGCTCCAAATCCCCCAGGGAACCCCCCCGCCCCTCCTCAGAGGGAATGGACCAAGTTCTTTGCCTGGCATCCCGAACCTGCCACTCACTGGTCCCTGACAACCCCCCACTCTGTAGTCAGGCTCCCTCTCTCTCCCCAGCAGAGTCCAGAAACAGTCTCGCCCCAGCCTCGGCTCGTGAAGACCCCCATCCTACAACTTGGCCAAGTTCAACTTCCCCCACTCCTTCCCAGAGCTGGGGGCTCACCCGGCCCTGCCCTCCCTCCCCGACCTCCCACAGGCCACAGGTCTCGGCCACGACTCACCCCATTTTTTTTTAATTTTTTTTAAGTTTTATTTAATTTTGAGAGAGAGCATGAGCGGGGAAGAGACAGAGAGAGGGGGAGACAGAAGGTCCAAAGCGGGCTATGCTCTGAGAGCAGCGAGCCCAAGGCAGGGCTCAGAATCACAAACCGTAAGATCATGACCTGAGCCAAAGTTGGACACTCAACCGACTGAGCCACCCAGGGGCCCCGTCACCCCATTCTTGAAGGTATCACCACCTCTCTGCCTTCTCCACACAGCCTGGAGTTGAATGCTGGCTCTACTGCTCACTAGCCATATGGGCAAGTTACTTTGCCTCCTTGTGCCTCAGTTTCTTCATATGAAAAGTGGGGGTCATGGGAGCGCTCACCTAAGCCAGTCATTGTTAGACATGACTAACACACGCACGTACTTAAAACAGCGTCTGACACATTAGATAGATGATAGATAGATAGATAGATAGATAGATAGATAGATAATGTATATATTGGCTACTATTATACTTTATGTTTCATGTATATATTTTTCTCAACTGTAAAGTATCTCTGAATGCAAACATAATAATGTATTTCTTGATAACTTCCAGGTCTGCGGGTGATGTGGATCAAGGAAGCATTCAAAACTGGACTGATAGGGGCGCCTGGGTGGCGCAGTCGGTTAAGCGTCCGACTTCAGCCAGGTCACGATCTCGCGGTCCGTGAGTTCGAGCCCCGCGTCGGGCTCTGGGCTGATGGCTCAGAGCCTGGAGCCTGTTTCCGATTCTGTGTCTCCCTCTCTCTCTGCCCCTCCCCCGTTCATGCTCTGTCTCTCTCTGTCCCAAAAATAAAAAAAATAAAAAAAATAAACGTTCAAAACTGGACTGATAAATACACAAAACATCTAGTCTCTTTTTTTTTTTCTTAATGTTTATTTTTGAGAGAGAGAGTGAATGGGGGAAGGGGCAGAGAGAGAGAGGGAGACACAGAATCCGAAGCAGGCTCCAGGCTCCGAGCTGTCCGCACAGAGCCCGATGTGGGGCTTGAACCCACAAACCATGAGATCGTGACCTTAGCCAAAGTCCGAAGTCTGGCGCTTAACCGACTGAGCCACCCTGGCGCCCTAAAATATCTAGTCTTTTTAAGGGTTGACTCATCACCGGGATGAGCTAGCTCATTATGGGAATGCTGTTCATCGTCACACCTCTGGGACCTAGAAACAGCACCTTGTCTTCTATCAGAGTATTCCCCAAACCATGGAGATTCATCTTAAAATTGTAAATGCTCCTTCCCATCTCCTGCCACCAGCAGAGTCCCCTCAATGCTGTTGGTTCACCCTCTCTGCTTGGTGCCTAAACCAGCCCCTTCCCGTTCAACCCTACCAACAAAAGGCTGGTGGTGATTGATGGTGACAGTGACCTCCAATCTGCGCTTGCTCTTGTCCATGAGGCCCCCAGCAGCCTCCACAACTTTTGAAATGCAGACTCCCCACCAGATGAGGCTTCTGGTTTTTTTCCCCCTGTGAAGTGGCATGTTTGATCTGGACCCTCCTGGGCTCTCTCCAAACGTCTGGGCCCTGGAATCACTGCCTGCCATAGCCTGCCCACCAGACTGCCTTTGCGGGTTCAGGGCTGAAGCTAGACAGACCTGGGTTCAAATCCCGACTGTGCCACTTTTAAGCTTTGTGTTCTTCTGGACTCTGAATCTCAGGTTCCTATCGTGAAGAAGGAAAATGAGGCATGTCCCAAGGAGTCGTTGGAAGGACTGCCTCAGATGACACACGAAGCTGCCAGCACCATGCTGGCACGTTGTCATGACTCAATAAATAACCGTCATGGTGAGGAGGGGGAGGAGGAGGAGGATTATAATAATGTGAAGGCAGAGGGTTGTCCATGAGGACTAACTTTGACTCAGTTCTTCTCCTTTCTCTTGAAAGGAGGAAGCACACAGACATGCACGCACACGCATACGCACATGCGTGCCCACACGTACGCGTGCACACACACCTACATCCTGCCCACGGCATTTCATTCTTCTCCCTGCCCGGAACGCCTCTAGCTGCTATTTGGGACAACCTAGCCCCATGGAGCCGTCTTCTCCTTGTCCCTTCCTCACTCATCGTTCGGGGCATCTGCGGCCCGGACACATGTCCTCTGCAGCCAAGCTGCCTGAGACCTGCTCTCCTTACAAAAGAATCCGTTTCCACTAAACCCCTGAGCGTTTCACATGTCGTCATTAGAAAGCCTCTTGTTTACTCATCTTCTTTAGTTTATTTGCCCAGTCCACAAAAATATTTGGTCGGCGTGACTTCCTGTAACCAAATGTGGGTGCCCAGCCGAAAGGTATCAAGCCGCCTGTACTTTGATGAGGCTGTGGCTGGGGCCGACCGCCATTTTGAAACAAGCACAGACCACAAGAATGCTGGGCAGGGCCTACCCCCTGCAACTGTAACCAGATTTCAGCGCCGTGGGACCCATGAATCACAGGCGTCTGGAGAGGTGAAGAGGATGAACCCCTGGTGCCAGTGAAAGCCCTGGCTCCTGTGAGGTGGAGGGGGGGAGCAGAGGAAAGAGAATCTGAAATGCGCCAGCATCCCCTCACTGCAGAGGCTACTCACAGGGTGTAAAACTTCAAGTGGAAACATAGAATAGGCGTTTGCATTTGACAGGAAAGGTTTGACTTTACCTCAGAGTTCTAGCTCTACGCGCTATAGGGCTCTACGGGCCCGCGCTCTCTCTCTCTCTCTCTCTCTCTCTCTCTCTCTCTGTCTCTCTCCCTTTCATTCTCTCCCAGAGCCCCACACTTAGGGCCTTGAACGATATTCGAAAACAGACTCCCTACACCCTTAATTGTATGGGAATGCAGCGGGCCAGAGGAGAGCCCGCCTGCAAGTCTGGAACAAGATAACCCTGTTTAAAGAATGTCAGTAAACACCTCTGAGAAACAGCCTCCCTTGGAAAGGCAATGGCGAAGGAAGAGATTTTTCCAGGCCTCCATTCCAGGAAGCTCGTGGGACAAAGAGATTTCCCTGAAAGAACCCCACGGATGTGACTGCGGCTCCTCTCTCGGTTCCTGCGTCCCCGGGGTGTTCAGAGCAGCGGGAGATGGGGGCCCGTCTGGGGAGAGGGAGGTCTTGCGGGTGAGGAGTTTTAACAACTGAAATGCAGAGACAAGCATCAGAAGGACTCATCTATTCCCCCTTGAGCAAAATCAACTGAGGGAGAAGGAAGAAAGGGAGTGGGGGGAGCCTTCCAAGTCGAATGAGTCGCTGAGTTAAATTACAGGGGCCTGGGAGGGATGATTAACAACCCTCATGGTTTTCTGCTTCACAGCCATTACTCACCCCAAACCTGGGGCTTCTCGGTTACATAGCCCAGCGCAGGCCGACCATTTTTTCCATTGACTGAAAACACATTCTGACTGAAAACAAACTTTGGATCCCCGAGGCTTGGCAGGCCCTGGGTCCTTCTCCATATTTAATCAACGGGAAGCTAAACACTTTCAATCTGTGATGGCTCATTTGGACGGGGTCTCGGGGCTTTTGCTTGGTGCCAGATATAATAACTCTCCTCTCTCTTTTCTAAGGCCTATTTTATAATTTTGCTGTTTTTCAATGTCAAGCCCATCTTTTGAAGAATTTTTATTGGATTTCCTGCTAGACTTCAATGAGGATTTTTCTTGCTTTGGCAGAAGTATCAAGCAGAACAGGGGAAAAACTCAATCATCGTCTTGGAGAGTCGCGATGGTGCGTGGGGGGGGGGGGCGGGTGGTCCTTTGTCTGCTCACACACAAACAGTTTTCTAGAAGGCTAGAGGCCCAGTGGCCAGCTTTGGGAAGTCCTCTGACTTTGATTCATGGGGTGACAATTGACAGGCAAGGCAGATGGATGTCAAAAGAAGGGAAGCTGGGACAGGAAAAAGGGGAAGTGGGAAGTGAGCCTTGAGTGTGAGAGAGAGCCCAAGGGCGGGTGGGTATATTCGAGTCAATGTCTGCCACGCGAGGCCCCGCACCACCGTGCACACTCAGCCGTGCCCGTTCACAAGGGCTGCTGGGACGCTGAGGAAATGGTCAGGCAGACTCTTACCCAACAGCATGACCCCCTCAGAGCTGCGGATACCCCAAGAATGGACAGGAAGGGCTCCATCCCGGAGGCTCCTGGTTTACCAGCCACAGCGACGGTCTCTGCTCCTGCTCCCAGGCAACATTCAGATCTTCAGTGTTTCTTCACAGAGATTATTCCCCAGAGGAAGCAGCTTGCCAGTGAGTGACAGCTTTGTTTGCTCATGTTTTCCTCTCTTCCCAGAGTCAACTTTCAGAATATACCAGGATGTTCCCTCTTACTCCTGGACTTTCTTTTCTTGTACCCTATTCCTTTTTATCTTATTTTATTTCATTTTATTGTATTTGGCGAGGTGGGGGGGGGGGGTCTCTACAGAGGATTATCCAGAGAAGAGAAGTGGTTCTTTGTCCAACAGCAAACGAGGAAAAGAGAGAGCCTTTTGATACTCTCTTTTCATGTTTCACTTTTTGTGACTTTTGATGTAGAGATGTTACATAACCACACTTCACATCTCCCTCTATTAGCCTCATGTTTGACAGTTCATCTTCACATGACTCATCTTCTTATTCCCATAACAACCCTCCGAGAGACAGGGCAGGTATCACAATTGTCATTTCTGAGGTAAACCAACACAAGTGACAGAGACCACATGACTTGCCAGAGTCCTGAGGGTAGTGAAGCGGCCAAACCAAAGTGTGAGCCGAGCTGAGCACTATTTTCTACTTTACCACAAACTGTATATGTTGAGGTCATGATCTCACAGTTTGTGGGTTCGAGCCCCGCGTCGGGCTCTGTGCTGATGGCTCAGAGCCTGGAGCCTGTTTGGGATTTTGTGTCTCCCTCTCTCTCTCTCTCTCTGCCCCTCCCCTATTCGCACTGTATCTCTCTCTCTCTCTCTCTCTCAAAAATAAAAAGTAAACATTAAAAAAAAAATGGGCAAAGGTCCCCTATGTCAACTCCCTGTCTCAGAGTACATTGAGAGTTGAGATGTCCATGGCAATTTTCACCACATCCACAGACCGCAGAACAATTTAACTTCAGGCCAGACTGCAAGACCAGGCTTCCAGGGCACCTAAGCCCCTCCTCGTACCTTCCATTTCCAGTCAGAGAAAGTTCACAAAAAGGTCAGGTCAACAAAAGTTCTTATGGAATACCCACTCAGAGCCCAGCAGTGGACTGGTCAATGCAAAGAAAAGATATTATCCCTGCTTCTGAGAAGTTTACAGTCCAGATGATGAGATGAGACACACATAGTATCCCAGGATGTCAGAACCGCAAAAGGACCTTAGCGGTCACCCATCCAAGTCCCTCGTTTACCAGCGAGGAGATGGGACAGTCCAGAGAAACAGTGAGTCAATAAGGACAATTCTGAACAGTATTTAAGTTGATGCTACAGAGAGCAGTGGGGGAAGCCAGTCAGAGGAAGCAAAGTGGCCAGGGACATGTTCTAGGAGAACACAAAACTTGATCTCGTCCCCGGAGTGTACGTAGAACTGAACGGATGGACAGGGAGAGAAGGGCCACCAAAGCAAAAGGGAGAAGGGGAATCTGAGTCCCGTGTGTTCCTGGGACCATACGGGGGCCAGAGTTTAGAGATGGAGCTGGAGGAAAGGGGCGGGAGGGGAAGGATAGGTAGGAATCAAGCCTGCAAACCTGGCTGACACCAGCCGGTGAGAGACCTTAGGCAGTCAGGAAGACCGTGCACATGACACTGGTGAGAGGTCTCATGAAGGTCAGGGTAAGCCTAAAGGCTCTTGCTGAGCAGCGAAGCCCTACTCATGTAATTTTCTAACCTTCATACCCACACCTAACAACCCAGCTGAATTAACCCAACGGACAGAGATCCAATTTGTGCTATACTTTGAGTCTGGAGAGAGTAGGGACCCACCCTACTCTGCCATGGGTGGGAGGCAGGTCATCCTGCCTCCCCAGCGACCCTCTTCATTCCTAAAGCCACCACCTCCGTGGTCCCTGGGAGCTCCCCAGCTCCCAGCGCCTGGCCCATGGCTATTCAGGAGGTCCTGGGCATAGGCTAAAAAAGCAAAGAATAAAGAAGCAAAGAAGAGGGAGACTATCTCAGAATACGAAGAGCTCATATCTGATGATGGGAAATTAGAGCAAAACCCTCTCCAGGATATCAGAGAAACTCCGAGAAAATCGACAACTGGCGCAATTTTCTCTAGCCCCTGGGGATCCTGGGGGCGTTGTGAAAGCTGGAAAGGGACTTCTCCTGTGTCCCTGTCGCCCTGCTGCACCCCTGTTGCTGGAGCATCTCCACCAACCTTTGTTCCTTTTTGCATTCCAAGCCTGTTCCTCAGTTTACCCGTGTTCACCTAAAAAAAAAACAAAAACAAGAAAATCAGCCCTCTTCCTTCTTAACGGAGCCTGAGATAAAGACAAGTCAGAAGGTAAGAACCAAAACACTTCCGGGGGAGGGCGTGGGTGCTGTTGCAATAATACTAATAGTGACCACAATAATGTCATTGTGACTCTGCCTCCGAACACAAAGCCTGTCTGCCCTCATGAACAGACCTTTGTTCTTCCAGCAGCTTCCATCTGAAGGGGAAGCACATCTTCCTGAAGGTTACATCAGCAACCAGCCTTCCATCTTCCTGTCCTAAAGAATCCCTGAAACTACTCTGAACATCAGTGCCCCAGGTTTACTAAAGCCTAAGAAACCTTTTCCTGACAGGCTTGCCTCGGAGAAGAAGGGCCAGCCCCAACTACTCTCATTTCCTACTCAAGGGCACCAGGAACAAAACTTGCCCACCCAGCCCGGCAGACGGACCGCCTTGCCCATGGAGACCCGCCCATCAGCTCTGATCTGTCCTGGGAAATTCATATTCCACATCCCTTGATTATGAGCAATCAACACCTTTACGTTTTCCTCAGGCCAGGCCGTCTCCAAACATGATCCCCGCAGCCCCAAATGACACCCACCACACCCCAGGGCACGCGGGGGGCGAGCCGGGGGTCCTTACCTCTCGCCACCTTCCCACTCTGGACTGTTCTCTGTGCCCCTCACGGTTGCCACAGGTCTCCCAGACGCGCTCTGCCATTTGAGGCAAGGAAGCACGCTATGGTATTCCATAAATTACTTGGCAAGAGTGGATGACAAAAACAAAATGTAATTCAGATTAAAGTCACCCTCCAGCTGAAATGATAGTTTATTAAATAAACGGCAGTGCTGCCAATCAACCTTGCTGGTAACCGGGCCCCTTAGATTAATCTTTCTGGGGCTGATTTAGGATCCACCTGGGCCCTCTGAGAAGATTCTCCCATCATTTCCTCCCCATCTCTCTGGATCAGGCTGCTGGGCTTGGCGCAGTTGACAAATTCCCCAAGTAATCCCTCAAAAGATTGGAGAAATGCTCCGAACGCGCCATTAAATTTATTTTCCATGCTTTAAGAGACCCAAAACTATGTCCAATAAATAAGTGTTCCCTGTGATTTACTGAAATGCTCCTCTGATTTAAAGTTATAGGGGGGAAAATATGGAGCCCCTGGGAGCCCAGGACCAGCCTTGCAAGTGAGACCAGATGTGAGATTTTTTGCCCGGGGAGGGCGGAGGAAGGGGGGGCGGGGAATCGGCCCAACTGGTGGAGGTTTGAAAGCGACAATGTCCGAACCCCGCTTCTCGGCTTTAACATAAAAGGTCCCCAGTTGAGCATTCTTTCTCACAAAATTTATTGTGGTTGTAGTTAGAGGGGGAACCATCAAAAGAATAATTCTGGCCCTTGTTTTGCAGAGCTCTTTTGATAAATATGATACTTAGAAATATGCCTCCCACTAGACAGAAAAGCCATATAGTTAAAATGAAGTAATCTGTCAGTAAACTCGCTAGAATCAAAGCCAAAATGAAACCTGTAAAAGGAGAAGGAGAGGGGAAAAAAAAAAAAAAAAAAACTCCACTTAGAAACGCTTGAGTCAAGCAGGGGAGAAGGTGGAGATTAAGAATTGTCCTTTATTCAGATATTTTTATCTACGGAGTTAAAAGCGGAGATTTATTTTTAAAGGGGGCTATTTCTGTTCCAATCTCCAACAGATGGGCCTGTGTTCCTGCCTCTCTCCAGCAGCCCCGGCTCAGCGAAAACAGCTTCTCTTGCGAGCTGAAACTTACCCAAACGAACCAGGAATAAAAACTTTTAGAAGCAAACGTAACCTTTGGAGCTGCTTGGTAAATATTGGGTCTGTTTACTACAGAGGCCCAGATGTGCCAAAACCAGCAAACAAACAGGAAGGCGGGAAACGGCCAATGTGCAGACTAAACTGTATATGAATATGTGTCATACGTACGTTGCATATGTGTGCGTGTGGGTATATCCGTGGTCATTCTCAAAGGCTAAGAAATGTCCCCGTGGGAAGTGTCATTGTCAATGGATTGTTCCAAGTAGTCGATCTTCAGGATCTACTCCCCTAAGAGTGTCCCATCCACCTGATAAATCACCTATTTGGACAATGCCTGTTTCATGGTCAGTGATGAAAGATATTTGGGGTAACTCCCTTGGTGAAATTAGCCCCAATTTCTTATTGGGTTTCTTATTCTTCTTACTCTATCCCTGAACCAAAAGAAATTCCACTCCAAGGCTCCGTAGGTTCTTGGGTGAGGCACTTTGGAAACCTTCCAAGGTGGTCAGGCCATTACAGGAAAAACGTTCTCCTCCTCACCAAGCAGCAGCCGCTGGGCGGGGCAGCCCTCCCAAGGCCTCGTCCCAGGAAAAGCCTCCTTTTGTTGTGTCTGCTTCCTGTCCCCAGAACAATGCCCGAGGCAGCCAGCCTTAGAGAATAGGAAGTCCCCACCACTCCCAAGCCAGGATGGGATGCAGGGAGACCTACCTGCCTTTTGTCCTGTGTCCCGCATTTACCCCAACCAACCGCAGGAGAGAAAGATCCCTGGTGTATACACAGCCCAGGACAAATGACAACATTCAAATTCTCCATTCCCTCCACCAGCATTTGTACCCTCTTGACGTGTGCCTACAATGAACGTGGGAGAAGAGAGGAGAGAGCCAAGGTGTCATGGAAGGGATTTTAGACATCAGAGGACTCCAGGTCTGATCCCAGCTCCGCCAGTGGGCCATCAGTATGACCTGAGACCAAGGCTTCCCCTCCCAGACCCCCATTTCTTTATCTCAGTGGTGAAAGGTTGAACCAAATGACCTCCTGTCCTCTGACTCTTAGGGAGCTTCGTCTTTCCGTGGCACCCATGCTGGTCTGGACAGAACTGGAGGGTGTAGAGTTTGAGCAGCACCTGTGTTTACACTGTACAATCTGCAGTTTACTGTAATAAAATCATTTAATACACTCATAATTTTTTTGGCAAGGGGTTGTGTTTATGGTGAGCAAGACGGAGAGGGAATGATTGACTACCACTGATTAAAACGATAAATCAAAAACAAAGGAGGGAGGACTCGAAGAGCACAAAGCCACAGGCAAATCCATCCAATTTAAGTCTCAAGTTCTGTGCCTTTGTGGGAACAACTGCGTCTGATGATGAGCCAGCCCTGGAGGTGCCCCCCCCAACCCAGCGCCCGCGGCTGGGGTGGGGGGTGGGCGAGGTGGAGGCGGGGATTCCTACAGCTCCACTCCCCAGGGTTTTATCCTCTTTGGGTAGAAAAATAAGGAAATGGTTTGACAAGAACCAGTTTTACAAGAACTAGTTTTCTTGGGCCACCGTCCTCCAAAAGGATTCGGAGGGAGGGCCAGGAATAAAGGAGTGCATGCGCACATGCTTGTGCGTGTCCAGGTAGAATAATTTGAGCAAGACCTAGAAGGACTTCTCAGATTCACAACTATCCCTCCAATACACTGCCTGAAACTGCACGGCGAGCAAGGATTGCTTAAGATTGCAGGTGCTTCTGACCTCGTAAGCACTGTCCTTCAACAACAGAGTGCCTGCTACATGCCGGGCGATGTGCCAGGGCAGAAAGGTTACAAAGGATCCTTCATTCACCAAATGCTGACCGTGGCGTGGGCACTGTCCTAGGCCCTGGGAGGGGACAGAGCAGTGGAGAAGAATCCCTGACCCCATGGGAGGGGTATTCTCGCGGCATTTACACGCTCACGAATAAACACCACGTTGGCCCCAGAGAAGAAGACTCATAGACAAACAGCACGTTACAGTGTGATGAATGGCAATCCAGATATGCCCAAGGGGTCCAGAACCCTGAGAAGGGGACTTCTGCTCTGGCTCTTCAAGAAAGAGAAGACCCACCCATTCACAGCTAGGGATGGCAATGCTCCAGGCAGGGGGTGACGGTGCTCCAGGCAGGGGTCACTGCATGGGCAAAGGGGTAGGGTTGTGGAAGAGCCTACTGAAGTTGGAAGGGAGAGAATTGAAACTCCAGGGAAGGGCTGGGTAGTAAGCCAATTATCTGCTTATCAGCTAATGATTTAGGTGGTCAATTTCACTGCTCTCGGAGAGCAAGTCTTCAAAGAGCAGTCAGAGGCCAGTGTCTGGAAGGGGAGGGTCACAGAACTGGGAGGCTGAGTGAAGTCAAGACAGACCTCCCGTATGTCACAACTTTGCTTAGGACGGTGTGGTGGAGACAACGACTGAACATTCGTGCCCCCTTTGACACCGTGTGGCATTGTTTCTGGGGAGGGGCCTTCCTTCCAGTTTTTAATTCCCGCACCTACTCCCTCCCAGGTCAGTTCATGGGACTCACCAACGGAACATGAGCAAAGGGGCTGCAGCATGTCCAGTGTGTCCTGTGTGGTTAAGGCTTCCACGCGCTCCCTGGGCAGAGACCCCTCCACAGAGACAGTAGACAGACGCCAGGCAGTGAAGCTGGTGCCAACCATTTCAAGGACTCAGGTAAGCCAAATAACCAGAAGCAATCTCATCAGAATTGTCGCTAGTGACAAAGACACTCATCAGGATTTTCATTTGTGGTGAGCCACCAGGATTCTGACATTGTTTGCTACAGCAGTTGGTCTGCTGTTGGTCTAAACACAGCTAGACCCATTGCCAGTGAAAAATCAGTTTATAGACATCCCTGCCATAGACTGGGTTCTCCAGGAAATGTCTGAGACTGAGAACCGTGTGCAAGGTTTACTGAGGAGTGCTCTCGAGACGGACACCCATGATGGAGCGAGGGACACAGCATGGAGGCAGAGGGAAGACTTGAACTATAATGCAGTCACAGCAGAGGCCTGAGCCAAAGCCACAGGAGCTCCGAAGCTGGGATGGCCCTTGGCGATGTCCTGCCTTGAAGTCAGAAGTCCGCACTTTGTAACCCTGCCTCAAGCAGTCATTGGATGCAAGCTACCGTTGAGGAAAGGGTGTGACCTTGGGCGAAAGCTGCTGCACACGGCAATCACTGGAGACTGAGACAACAGTTGTGGGCCATCAGCAGTGAAGGGAGAGCATTCCTCAGCCAGAAGGCATACCATAGCATCCACCACAGTCCGCTCATTGTGCCACCAGGTTTCACTTGCTTGGTACAAGTTCACGTCTCCAGGGTTCTGATTGGTCTCCTTTCCCAGGGAGACCAAACTGGAGCTCCTACCACTCCATGTGGTCTTGGGCTGCAACTGATATTCATCATCTCCCTCTGCTGCAACCCATTCACAGAATCGCTCACACCACCCCACCCCCACTGGTACTCTCATGGTTTAGGAGCTTATTTATCAGGGCGACCCAACCTTCATCTTTGAAGGAGAAATCTAAGCCCCTGGCCAGCATGCCCTTCTCAGGACATGACTGCTATACTTGTCCATTTACCATCAAAACTGGACAGGGAAAGACCATGAGATGTACGAAGTGACAGTCGTGTCCTGCCCTGCCCTCCTGGTGTATCAGCAACCCTGCCCCTGCTGGTGATCAGGGTCCCCTGCACCTGACAGGGTGGCGACTTCCATCCTGGCCTTCTTGCCTCTTGATACAAGGAGTAAGAAATGACCAGGCAGTAGCCATCAGTGGGGCTCAGTGAGACTTTTGCTTTGTTTCTTGGTTGAAGCCTTCTCCAAAGAGCACCACCTTGAGCCCCACATAGCCTAAAGTTGTGAGGATGGGAAGCAGGTTCCCCAAACGGGTCACTAAGATTCCCCAAAACAGGGTGCCTTCTGTGTCACCTCAGTTTCTGGCCCAATATATTCTACCTGTCGGAGACATGCACCACATAATCTCATTAATTTAGGGTACATACTGCATCCTAGAGAATGTACCTTGTCTCCATAAGGTATCGTCTCCACTGGCACCTCAGCGATGCCCTCAGAAGGTTTTTTCCATTTCTTTATCAGACCAACAATTTCTGGATTGTAGGACATATAAGAGGACCAGTTGGTATCATGGTCACACGGCCACTGCCACGCCTCTCTTACTGTAAGTGGGTCCCTAGGCCCAATGCCATATTGCACAGGATACCATATTAGCAAACCAGACTCTGCAAGGCCTCGGATACTTATATTAGGTGACATCACATGGGCAAAAAGATCAAACTCATGCCCAGAATATATGTCAATGCCTGTTAGGTTGAATCACTGCCCCTTTCAGGTAGAAGAAATCCATTATAATCAACTTGCCACCAAGGGGAGGGACAGGGACTCGCTGTCGGACTCCTTTGCTGTCAGTGTAGACATTCAGCAGCAGAAGTAGGAGGTTCAGCCTTAGCGAGTGGCAATCCATGCTGTTGGGCCACACATGGCCTCCGTCTCTGCCACTGTGGCTACTCGGTTTATGCCCCCGTCATGCTAGCGTGGAAAATGAGGTCAAGAGAGGGAGCCGATAAGAAAAGACCAACTGGCTGAGTGATTCTGTCAACCTGGTTAAGCGCTTAACCATGATGGACACTCGCTAACGGGCTTTAATAGGTGATACAAAGATCACGCTTCATGCCTGCTTCCGTAGGTCTGTCCCCACAGGTCTCCCCCAGACCTGCTTGTCCCTCGTCTCCAATATGTCTCCTTCCAGGTGCGTGACCAACTAGCCAAGCCATTCGCCACGTCCCAAGAGTCATTACCTATTCTTGCTTCAGGCCACTCCTCTTTCCACACAGAGTGAGTCACCAGGTGGTCTGCCCAGAGGCCGGCTCACTGGGAGGGTTGCTCTTGGCTGCTGTCTTTCAGGTCTTGTCCTGAGTGGCACTGTAATTCACTTGCCATCCAGGTTTGGCTTCCACACACCTACCAGGTTAACCCATCCACGAGCCAAGCTCAGTTTTTTCCTCCCCTGTCAATTGGTCATAAGGGAACCCTCTGCTTCCTTGTGGCCACAAGTGCGAGCAGAGGGAAGGTCGCCAGTACAATGATAGCAGACATGAGAGTTTGAGCCACCTGCTCAAGCAGCTTGCTTGTGTCCTTCAGCACTGCCCATGCCTACATGCTGACATCCTACTGCCATGTCATTTTGGATTGCTGTTGGCCTCTCCGACCTTTACCTTGGTGGGTCTGCCAGAACCCGACTCCTGATGGCCAGCCTCTGTCTCTACCAGTAGCATGCCAAAAGCTGTTTTTTAAATGGTAAAGATGGCATGGTCTTGCCCTAGAACCCTAGAGGTCTGTATTGTGACTCTCCTATGAAGAGAATGACAACTGTTCCCTTCATAAATACCTCTAACATCATAAAGTCTATCAGGTCATAGAGCCCAGAAAACAGGGATCTTTGCACCTTGGACCTTATGCAGAGTCATCTCATGTCTGGGCTTTGCTGAAAGCTGAAAGCCTTCTAGGTCATTAGGTAAAAGGATCAGAGCTATATTCCCAAGTAGGAAACATACTGCCTCTAAAAGGCTTACTAGGTCTCAAGGGTAGAGAATAAGATATGCAATAACCCATTATTTTATTTTATTTTATTTTATTTTTTAATGTTTTATTTATTCTTGAGGGACAGAGAGACAGAGTGTGAGCTGGGGAGAGGCAGAGAGACAGGGAGACACAGAATCCAAAGCAGGCTCCAGGCTCCAAGCTATCAGCACAGAGCCTGATGCGGGGCTTGAACTCACAAACTGTGAGATCATGACCTGAGCTGAAGTCGGACGCTTAACTGACTGAGCCACCCAGGTGCCCCTAATCCGTCCGTTATTTTAAAGAGAACATCCTAGCATGCGCCAGACCACTGGACCCCTAAGAGTTTCTCACATATGGTGGGCTCTTAAATATTTGCAGGATTTATCTCCCACTGCTATAGTGTATGTGTCTTACCAATGCTTCCAATATACTTGCCACTTCTTGTTAATCCCCAGTAAGATTATCAAAATAGTGAGTGTTAATATAACTAGGGAATGTTCAGATGGCACAAGTCCCTTTAGACTTGATTATGACAGAGGGCAGAAGAGTTCACGTAGCCCTGAGCCAAGACATAAA